TGCACTTAGTTGTCTGTGGTCATTTCCAACACTGTATTCTAGTTCTCAGTTTCTACTTTCATTTCCTTCTTTAACGATTTCCATTTCTATTTACAAAGCCAACATTTCAAAACAAGTTATCTGCAGCTAACTTTAGGAGATCAATGGGGCTACGCTCAGAAAGGGCACCTCCCTTCTCATGAAGCTTCCGCGCACAGTATCAAATCCCACATGTCTTCGTTTCCTCTTACACACCCATCTTTGAGCTTTAAAATGAATGAAGCAGCACACCAGTTTTAAAGCCTCATCCTTTACAAATGATAAACAAAAACTATGAATTTTTCAAATTATATTAGAAAAATGTTAGTTAATTGGCACATATCACAAAACCTCCAAAGTCTGCATCAGCTTTATCTAGCAGTGCTGTGTTTCCTCCCAGCAGTTGAAGGGAGATGATAAGTCTAGCTGTACCCTAGGGAAAAGCAAAGCAAGTTCATTACTTTACCCTCCAAGCCAAAGGTCAGGAGAGACCAGAGACTAAATCAGTATGTTAACAACTAATTTGCTGGACCCTAGAGAGGTAGCGGCCAAGCTAGGCTCTTGTTTCCAGCATTTTGCTTTGCTTCCTTTCATAGTATTTCTTAAAATGTTACACTGAGGAAAGGGAAAGAAGGGAACTTTAAAAAACTACTTCTTAAAATAACAATAACTAAAATAATGTGAGTATGTGCATAAGTGTGTATATGATGTGTGTTTATTTTATATACACACACACATACATATCCATAATAGTAGTCCCTTGGCATCCTGCAGCGGATTGGTGCCAGGACCACTGTGGATACCAAAATTTGTGGATGCTCAAGTCCCATAATCTCCACTCCAGATCTCGGGTTCCGAATCTGTAGATTCAGCCAACTGTGCATGTGTAGTGCCACAGTATTTATTGAAAAAAATCCACATATAAGTGGACCTGTGCAGCTCAAGCCTGTGTTCAAAGGCAACAAATGTCATGTCCTGCTTTACTGAAATACTTAGCTCTAAAAGGAAAACAGCTGATACCTGGTAGAGTCCCTCATGCTTGGCATTATGACTGGGAGCTGCCACCATGATCGTTTCCCATTCAACGCACAATGACTAAAATGGAAGAACACGGCAGTGGTTTCTAAGTGTTTCATGTCTATGTATAGAGAGATTTTGAGAATCCATGTTTACCCAAGGGGTGGCTGAGAGTAGCCATCTTCATTTTTTTAGGAGAGTAAGGATGGAGCTTAGATGTGTAGGATAAAAAGGAAAAGGGCGCTGGCCAGGGGCCAACTGCCCACATTGTCATGTTCTGACATGAACCCCACGAGTCCAAGAATTTTACATTCAAATCTGGCCTCCAGGACATTAGGAAGATATCTTATCAAGAAAAAAGTATAGCTCACATTTAATTTTACAGTCTGATAGCTTTATTTAAACTTTCAATTTAGAATAGACCATGGCCTCCATTTTTACTCCTTCTTCAGGCCCTACAAACATTAGGAGGAGGCCTGATCAAAACCTTTTCTGGGACTACAGCATTTTTAGGTGGAAAACACATTCTTAGCTCTCCTTGCGAATATAACTAGAGGGTCACAAATTTGCTCATCAGACCAGAATTAACTCTTTAACTTCAATGTTTGCTCTTCAGAAAACATGAGGAAGGTTCAAACGGAAACTAATTACAACGCTGGGTCAATTATATCTCAATTAAAAAAAAAAAGCCACTTGGGTGTTAGTGCGTGGCTGGGCAGAAGGAGGAAACCATCAGGAGAGCCTTTGGTGCCATGTTAGATTGTTAAAAGGGACTCCAGCCAGTGTGAATGACCTGGAAGCTGGCTGGTGGTGAAATGCAAGGGCTGAGGGGCGGGGAGGGGACAAACAATTACGGACAGCCCTTTTCTTGGCAGGTTTCCTGGCAGGTTCCCCAGCTGAGAGGGGATGTATCCAGGTTGTCCACGAAAGCCTGAAACATATGAAAATATATGCTGAAAGGGCTGAAAATCTGTATAACTACTCTGGAAACTTGTTCGGCATTGTTTACTAAAGCTAAATATATGCATATCCTATGACCCAGAAATTCGCTCCCAAGTATTAATATTGAGCTTAATAGAAATGTACATACTTGGGAGCCATGAGATAGGTAGAAGAATACTGACAGCATTATGATTCGAAAAAATCAAAAATGGAAGCAGCCAAAATTTCTTTCAACAGGAGAATACATAAACTGTGTAGAGTAATACACTGGAAAGTTATACAGACACGACAATAAGCTACAGCCAAATACAAGATCATGCACGACTCCCACCAAATAATGTTGAATGTCAGAGGCAGGCACAGGAGAACACGTGCGATCAATTTCATGTGTATGAAGACACAAAAAAAAAAACAGAAAAGGCTTTAGAAACAAATGCTTATGTGGTAAAACTATAAAATAAGGCACCAAAAATATTACCAGAAGTATCAGAATACTGATCGCATCTGGTCACTGGAGAGAGGTAGTAATTGGGAGGAGGCGTAAGAGCAGATTCTTATTTCTTCTTTTCCTTCTTCTTATAAATTAAGCAATAATTTATTTCTTGATCTTGGTGGTAGGTAAAAGGTATTTTTTTTTTTCTTGGCAAAACACTGTACTCTTTTTCTGTATGTTATAGTTCCCCAATTACAGAAAAAAATGGCATTGTTATGTATTAAATTCATTCATTCATTTTTATTCAGTAAATTTCTATTAAATGCCTACAGTAAGACCTGTTCTAGGTGCTATGTAAATAGCAATGAACAATGGAGACAAAAATCCTCCACATTCTAGTTGAAAAAGATAATAAAAAAGAAATGTAACGATAACAATAATATAGAATCATCATCATAATTCACAACATATGTACAGATATGTTTGCTGGTGATAAGTGCTAGGAAGAAAAATAAAGCAGGGAGAGGGAATGTGTGTTTGTTTGGGGGTAAGTTGGGTTAAGGAGATTCAGGGTTAGGTCATCAAAACAGGTCTCACTGAGACGGTAACATCTGAGTTAAGATCGAAAAGAAGTGAAGGAGTAAAAAAGACTACAGAATGGGAGAAAGTATTCGTGAATCATTATCTAATGAGAGTATAATACCCAGAATATATAAAGAACTCCTATAATTCAACAACAAAAAGACAAACTCAATTAAAAAATAGACAAAGGACTGGAACACACATGTCTCCAGAGAAGATATACAAATGGCAAGCAAGCATATGATGAGGAATTCAGCATCGTTAGTCACTATGGAAATGCAAGTCAAAACTGCAATGAGATACCACTTCACATTTACTATTAGGAAGATCACATATCTTTTTTTAATGAGGGGAAAAATATGCTGGTGAGGATGTAGAGAAATTCAAGTCCTCATACACTATTGGTGGGAATGTAAAATGGTGCCAGAGATGCAGAAAACATTGGGAGTTTCTAAAAAAGTTAATGAAAGAATTACCACGTGACCCAGCAAGCCCACTCCTCAGTATACACCCAAAATAAACGAAGACAGGAACACAAACAGATACTTGTATATCAATGTTTCCAGCACCTTTTCAACATCTATGTGAGGCACTATGTTGACATCGTACCAGTTAAGATGCTGACGCACAGTACTGCGTTTTCTACATGCTTACTCCACCATCAACCATCAGTTTAGGCCCTGTTGTGGGCTGAACTGTGTCTCCCCAAAATTCATGTTGAAGTCCTCACCGCTCCAGTACCTCAGCATTTAACTGTTTTTGGACATAGGGTCTTCAGAGATACTCAAGGTGAAAAATGAGGTCATGTGGGTGGGCCCTAATCCAATATGACTGCTGTCTTTAGAAGAAGAGATGAGGACGCAGACACACACAAAGGAAAGACCATATGAAGACAATGGAGGAAGATGGCCATTGTAAGCCAAGGAGCAAGGCCTTAGAAGACACCAATCCTGCTGACACCATGATCTCAAATTTTTAGCCTCCAGAGCTGTGAGGAAATAAATTTCTGTTATTTAAGCCACCCAGTCTGTGGAACTGTGTTACGGCAGCCCTTGCAAACTAATAGAGGACTCCTCACCTCTGCTGGGACAGAGAGAAGAGATGAAATCTACCCTAAGAGTGATGGAAAGCCACTGGAGAGTTGTAAGAATGATATAATTATATTTACCTATTAACAACTCATTTTGGCTTTTATTTGTAAATGGATTAGAGTTGGATAAACTGGACGTGGAGAAACCGGTTAGGAGGTTATATTGCATTAGTCCAGGCAAAAGACCTAATCTAATGTGATGGCAACGGTGATAGAGAAAAGTGAAAAAACTCGAAATATGGTTTAGAAGAGATAGCACCGAGGGACAGATCTGAGTTGGAGGAAGAGGTGAAGGAACAGAAACGAATCAAGAATGACTCTTGGGTTTTTGGGAAGACAAACTGATGGATGCAGCTGAGATAGGAAACTCCAGAGGAGCAGATCTGAAGAAAGACAGACTCAAAAGTGCAGTTTCAGGTACAATTAACTTGATATGTCTGTGAACGGCTCTGAAAAGACGTGAAATAAGCCTGGAAAGCCAGAAAAGAAATTTAGGTAAGAGATATACATTTGGGAGTTACTGATATATTGCTTTTTAAAACGGAATTAGATTGCCCAGGAAACAAACGCAGTAGGAGAAGAGAGGGCAGCCTGGGGCTGAATCCTATGGAACTCCAATATTGACGGCAGGAAGGTGTTCCATAAATGACGAGTACCACCAGGTTCACAAATGTTTCTGCATGGTATGTGGAAATGTATGGCATTTATTACGTGAATCAAAATAATTTAGTAAGTTGGCACACGGGCAATAAAACTGGGTGGCTTGCCTTCAATCTTCCATTTTCCAGTAAAACCCATTAAAGTCACTAATATTGTTAACTAAACACACACAGACTAGAAGATTTACTCCCTCTCTTCTGTCTTACACATATAAGATTACAACCAAGAACCCATTTAGGAAATTCACCACTTACACTGTCTAAGCCGGTCTCATGCATTAATATCAAACTTAGACTTTCTGCACCCTCTCTGAAAAACACTGCAAAGTGAAAATGAAAGTGCAAAGATTAACATTCTGCCAATTTCTTAAAAGGGAAGAAATATGTATTTGTTCACCCACTTCTTTTTATTTTAAATGTGTAACCCTGTCTACCAGTACCTGGACAAGGTTGCACATACCCATTAGCAAAATTCTCATGGAAACAGAATTCAGAGAGGTGGTCAGAGAGGTCTAACTTGATGAAAGCTGACAGTAAAAATAGTTTGCTTTCGTTAGTTAGTTAGTTAGATATTAGGAACACATACATGTTTTCTAAAACAGAAATGTATTCGCTTCTTCATGAATTATCTAAGTAGAAATAATCTCTAAATAATATAGATACAAATTAGATAAGAATTAAACCAAGTTTACATTACTTGGCTTTTAAAATTAAG